TATTATTATTATTATTATTATTATTATTATTAGGGACATCATCATCAGGGGTCGAGATGGCTCATGTGGTTAGAGCGCGAATTAGCTGACCGGAAGGTCCGTGGTTCGAACCTGACCTCTATCGCTCGACTTCCCCTGTCTAGGCTTGGGCGACCTGGCAGTATCCCAGCCCTCGTGCCTCCTTTGGTGGCATGGCAGCTAGGCACCGAAAGGGTTCTACAACTGAACGATTATTATTACATCATCATCGACAGCACAACACCAAGGTGCTCTGCTGCTGTGCAGCCATAATTCATTTGAAAGCCTTATTGTGTAGAAAAGAATAAAATGGGATGGGGAAGGGACTGAGCGCTAACCTATCACATTAATTTCGAGGTGCCTACACCGCTAGACACATTCAGGCAATCTGAATAGAAGCTAACAATATGAAAGCCACCGATATCGATTAATAACCCTATCTTTCAGCGTTCCCAACCAGACAGAGGCATTACGTGGACCGCATCCTGAAGAGCGAGTCGCACCGGCATCAATGGAACTTTTCATATTCTCGTTCATACCCATCTACCAGGCCCATAGTCGACCCCAACTCTGCTTGCGCCACTCTGAGTTAGGCACGGAAAACAGCACTCCCTTCGGCAACCGATGATCGGGCATGCGCACTACACCAAGACACTACTGCTTTTGGTGTTGAACACATCCTTTGGTTGAAGTATCTGCTGCACAGCTAAACACTCGCTTTCCGTTTATAAGGTTGCGGATTTGTGGGCGGCAGCCTACATGAGCTATGATTTTTGGGATAATGGCTTTAGGATACCTAAAAATGCCCTAGTTTTGCTGCCCAAACGGGCGAGGTCTTATATCGGTACAACAAAACAGCCAATACCGTAACTTCATGCACACACCCCTTGAAATTCGTAAATAAATAGAACAACCTCGAGTGCCTCTCCTTGGATTGTAATTGCCATGTTAGGTGACTGCATATTCAGGAGAATGACCTTACGCTTTGTGGGTGTGAGGTGAATGCCAAAGGGTGACTTTATTCAGTTCTTCCAAAAACACCCACACCTTTTTCTCCTTTCCGGAGATGAGAACGATGTCTGCGCATTCCAGGCCGACAAGGCTTTCGTCAGCAGTCATTTAAACACCAGGATTTCGAAGACCTCCCGACATTCATCTCATTCTCCTATCGATCAAGATACCAAATAGGATTGTAGAGCATAGACATCCCGCTTTCTACTCCGGAGTCTACACTTCACGAGCCATCATCGGATGACGGAGGACAAGTGACACCAGGAGTCTCGTTACTAAATGAATCAAGTTTATCTTCGTGATTGTCACACTCACTACGAGCCCCACTTCTAATAAGCAATATTACTTATCCGTCCCATTTTTGGGATAGCATTCCCTTCACATTTGCAGGGAAATAAGTCAAGCTAGCTCTGACTGAGGACTTCATCCCCGCCCTTGAACAATCAAGGTGGGAGGTCACTCGGACCAGGTACTCGGTGGCGTTTCAAAGAACATATGCAGTCATAAAACTACAAGGCCGTAGGGGTTTCTAAGTTCACCGCATTTGGCTCTAGCGCAGTTCAGTTATCCGAGGCGTCGGTGTTGAACATTGATGTTATGCTGTCGATGATGTAACTATCCTACTGACTATCGACAGGCTGCCATGAGGTAGTTACACCAGTTTGATCCTTATTCGATTTGCTCACAGCTGAGTTCCAGAGACCAGTGGCAAGGGTCAGTCAAAATACTCTTTGGGTGTTCGTGGCACTCTTCGCCTCTCCCATTTCCTTGGACTTCTGTGTTCACCAGGCCTGACGATTGGAGCACACGCTCAGGTTCACTTGGTGTGTGCTAAATCGTCAAGCTGAATTATGTTCGGGACTGGCGGAGAAATTTCTCCGAGATTCAAGTCGCTCCATGGTTCCGTTTGACTTCCGCTGTTTGAGGGAACCTGGTAGCCTTACTTGCTGCATGCAGCAGGGTGGGTAAGCAAAAGCAGACTACTGCTGACGCCCTTTCTCTCCTTTCACTTACTTTATGTTCATTCTCCCCCACCCCATTCATAACTCTTTCCTTATAGGCCCGTTAGTTAGGACTGATAACTCCTTTCATCCTGCATCAGTTTTGCAAGCGGCGTCTGCACGTCGTCCGGCGCCGACATACTCAGTCCTCTTGAAATCAATCTTGAAGCATTGATGCCTAGTCTGTCTGGCTGCTTTCACTGCCCGCATTCGGAAGCAAGCAGAACAGCAAACTTATCCTGCTCTCACACTGGACACACTTGGCATCGATTTGTGCTGTGTATCGGAAACGAAAATTCGAAATGCAAGCACAGTGGCCGTGCTAGCCAACCCATCACCCTTCACTCACTTCAGGCTCTGCCACTCTTACGACCTAGAGGCTTTTGAGATGGGATGTGCAGGGGTTGGTATCGTCCTGAGTCACTTGCCGAAGTGATCCTTGCACGACTGGATACCCCTTGATTGTCGCATTTGTGCGGTTTGTCTGATAAAGTCCGTCAAGTAGTCTCACGAGTGATAAATTGATTGTATTCTGTTTGCCGTGTCTGCTCACGCCCCAACCGTCTTCAGCTCTGATACCACCGGAAACAAGTTTTATGGCCCCCTGAATGTCCTGTTATGACGAGCTAAAAGCCAAGATGTCGTTGTGGTTTCCGGAGATCTGAATGCATAAACTGGCAGGCTTTACGCATCTGAGACCCAATTAGGTGGTCTACCTGGATTGGAGTCGGTACCTACGGAAACGGCGAACGATTTCTTCAGCAGTGTACGGACCGCAGGCTGATTTTATGCAATGCTAACTTTCGATACGGCTGAAGTCAGCCCACGTTCAGTCCTCCAACAACTAGCGGCTACGAACTCCAACTGATCAAATTACCATCAGTTATGGATGGCGCGGATCGATAATAGACTGCCGCTCGTTTTGGAACACATTTGTGGATTCCGACCACGCTCGTGCTGAACCATTTCCTCCATTTCCCAGATCTGTTTAAGGTACGGACAATTGCTCAGCAACGGAGAAGACCCAAAAATTTAATGTTAGACGAATTTACCGGAATCGTCTTCCGGAGTCTTCCAACTGTTGCGCAATCAGATGCGAATTCATGCTGTGAGGAGATCGCCACCTCCTTAGCGCCTGGAGCTTTGCCTGTGGCACAGTGCTATCAGGCCCACTCAAGCACTGAATATCAGACCGGATAGTGGTATTGCTTAGGTCTTGGAGAAATATCTTCGCTGGTCCCGAGAATCAATTGACCCAGAGAATTATCAGACTTCAAGTGAAAGTGAGCATGTGCGCTTCCCGTGAATTCCGGTAGACTTGAAAAGCTAATGAAATGGAAGAGGCCCAGAAAGCCGGGAATGCCCGAAGATTATTTTAGTTTATCCGTGCGACCGCTCCATGAAAACTACCTGTGGGCAAAAGCATCCAGAATCGAAATGGACCATCCTGAATGAAGGATAACGCCCCGACCGTTGGACTGAATACTTTGAGCAACAGTTTTTGTGGCCACCAGGCACAGCTCATCTAGGTTTTACAGCTTGATTAGAACGCTTGACAGTGAACTTGGAACCCCGTACGGCCTCGGAGGTTCATGACTGCATATGCGCCACCAAACGTCTGGTTTGGATGACCTCCCACCCGCATTGTTCAAAGAAGTGGGTGATGTCTTTAGTCAGTGCTCGTCTGATCTGTTTGCCTGCATTTTGGAAAATGAGACCATTCCAATCAACTTGAGGGAGTCAGTGATAGTGCCCAGTGCTGAACACTGATATGCTGTCGATAAATATGACAATGGTGGTAACGATGACGATGATGTTGATGACTGATGTGGTGTCTTCCTTCATGTACAAACTAAAATTTCACAGTGGAGCACCTTGGAAGAGTCTTGAAGACGGATTTACTATCCTCTGAGTTTCTAAGCTGTTGTTTGCCCCTCAACTGGCCCTGGAAGGTGACGAGGAAACAGATTCTGGGAAGCACATGGTCAAAATCTGCACAAGTTTTCCAAAACGAGCGGGAGTCAGTTTCTGATCTGAGCCATCGGTAATGGGTGGCGATGTGTTCATCTGGGGTGCGTTGCTGGCACACTGTTAGGGGACAATTCGGTCAAATTATTTCAGTTATTTCGGCAGTTAATACTGCCCCGAAAGTGTCCGATATCAGCGAATAGCTGAAACCGTCGTTCACTGTCTGTGCGCACCGAACACAATCCAAGTCGACCACGCAGCCGAGTCTCAAATGCGCCTGGCCACTTGTGCATTCAGATCTGCAGTGGTAACGATATCCCACTTTTTATCTCACATTACCAAGGCACGCAGGGCGTCATGAAGTTTTCCTTTAGTAGTCTCAGCACTACAATCGGTTGCGATTATTAGGAATCACGAGGAACAACGATCAGTTTCCCACTTCTTGAATTCCTTCACGGGGAGGTGGTAGTTCAGTGGTTAGAGTGTAACTTTACCGGCAGGAAGTTCCGTGGTTTGGAACCCGATCTCTGCATTTCGACTTCTTAGGCTCGAGCAACCTATCAGTATCCCAGACCTCGTGCTTCCTTTGGATGGCATAGCAGCTAGGCACCAAAAGGGTGTTACAGCTGAGCGATTATTTTACGTTTTTTAGAGGAACCATACGGGGACTACTATCAATGGGATTCAGTCAAACGAGGATGCTTCGATTTAGTCAGTTGGGACGATGTCAACGCCTGCGCACACTCGGAATACAGAGGTGCGTAGCCGGAAGCAATTGGAGAGATTGGGTACTTCTCAGTTACTGTGCTTTGTTCTTGAATTCTCGTCTGTGATGCAAAGTACGCATCAACCTTAAGTGAGTTCGGTGTGAGAGCAAGAAAGCTTGTTTTTCTTGCTTCAGTGTATGGACAGTAAACGTATTCAGATGGGCCAGGCCTCGAGGCCTGAAGATTGATTTCGGAATGCCTAAGGCTGTCGGCGTTGACTGACCTCTCCAGATGTTTTGGCTATCACTGTTGCAAGTCGAAGGGGGTCGTCGGATGGACTTTCAAGGAAAGCTTTGTTAATGGGGTCGGGAGAGGAGGAAAAAATACATGGGAATGTGATAGAAAGGAAGCCTTGTAGAACCGGTAAGACCCAAACAGCTTAACTTCCAATTTGTCCCTGATAAGTGGGAGGTATCTAGCTTCATCGTCTCCACATAAGAGTCCATTGTATTTGGAAAAGAGTGTTAGAACATTACCACCTGCCTTGGTATTTAAGGTGCCCAGTTCAATTGTTCCGATTTTTTAAACCACAAACAGTGTGCAGTGCACTTTGTTTCAGGCTTCCACAGCATTTGGGCCTCGGTAACGAAAGATGAACGAAATACTGGTGGTGTTTTAATGGTTAGGGTAAGTTATTGAATAAAACAGTGTCATTAGAGACGAGACCTCGATATGTCAGTCAGAGTATCCAGCAGTTTATGAGGTGGGTTTCTGAGACGCAGATGGTTTGCGTTAACACGATCGAGACTCGTTTTGAAGCTTGCCGAGGTTCGTCTCTAGGTCGTGCTTTATGCATCTTGCATCATTCGGAGCAGACTTCAGTAAACCAGATGTGACAAACCCACTGACTACCTGCGGCATCGTAGCTAGTCCACCGCTTGTCACATCTTCAAGTCGACGAGTACATGTCGGTAACTTCGTCGCACTTCAGTTCTGCTAATTAGGCGCCCCTATGCTACGTGTACAATGTTTCATAGGCACTGATAGTCAAAGGTATGCGGTCTTATTTTGTTTTCAGCACATAATAACCGTGTTTCGGAGCTAAATGTGCTGCGAGATGCACTGCGTTAATGTCAACCGTACCATTTACGCACAAACCAATATCATCGTGTCTATCGTTCAGCTGTAGCGCCCTTTCGGTGCCCAGCTGTCATACCACCCGAAGGAAGCACGAAGGCTGGGATACTGTCAGGTTGCTCAAGCCTAGACAGAGGAAGTCGAGAGGCAGAGGTCGGGTTCGAATCACGGTCAGTAAATTCACCCTCTAACCGTTTGACCCCATAGTGTCATCGTGTCTGCGCAGAATAAAAGTAAATCGGCCTTCAAAACTCACCGCATTCTCTTTGGGACTACCGTTATTGAAAGAGATTTCCCTGGCAAGATGACTGGACCTGTCGCTCACTTTTAGTGCCACACAAGCCCTGATGTGGTTTGGTATCGCACATACCCAGCGTTAGGCTGGCACACTGCACGATTAAGATACAAAATCCGTTCTGAAACGCTTGACCAAGCTGCTTACTACACTTGTTTTGGTGCAATCTTCCCGTGCCCCGGACGGAAAATAGTTAACTTACAATTCGCCTTCAGTGTAACGTCACGGCAAGCGATTGGGACGTATTAGCCAATCCAAGCCTTGATGAAACCTTGTTCTGATAGCGCGGATAGTGCACTGTACATATATTTTGATTCATTTGTTCACAAAGGAAAGGGTTTTTAATGGGTGCGAATTTTATTACAGACAAATTCCTCTAGAATTCTACGAGTAGCGTGGATTTGTGCTATGCAGTGTGATGTTCTGAATCCTTGCCTCTTAAAATGGTCCAAATGATTCCCCCATGAACGCATACGGATCTACGGCGAATTCTTCCCTATTTCATCACATCCACTGGTGCCAACAAAGTCCCCTCTCGTTCTTCTTTTTGATAATCGAGATGCTCTTCACCTGTCCCTAACATTTCGAGGGTTGAGATGCTTCCGGATCACTTGTTCACAAACTTTTAGTCCACTGGCAGTATCACTCATCTGAAATCAGGGACCTTTTCAGTGCAAACGATTTTAGACAACCTGAGTAATTCTGCTGCATAGTTCGGCTTGAGCTTTACACCTGGAAAGTAAGGTGTTACTGAAAGAGTGAGTAGGTTAAAAGTTGGACTTCATACTTGCAGAAGGAGCTATATAGTAGACAAGGTCATCTATCTGCATAAATTCCGGCGTTCAGGCGAAGGATAAAACTATTTTTCAAATTAAGAAGAGCAGGGCAGTGTTTGGCAACTTACAGCATTTGTAACGTCGGTGTGACATCTGTTTGACCGAAATGCTGAGGTTCTATCTGTCCTTCTTCGTTGATCCTAGACGTGGCCACTGCTTTCAGATCTTTGAAAACTGTACGTCTCCAAAGCATTGCACGGGTCCGATGTATTCGGAAAAACTAGGACAATTGGATGCAAACGTGATTGTGCTGCGGCGTCCCGTTGTTCGTTGTTGCAACATTGTGGTCCAGGCGGCTTCGTCGATCACGGATGTGACCTATGTGGACGAAAAAGCATAACTTTCGGTGTTTGACCCTTGGTCCGTTAGGAACATCGTATTAACTGTTTACGACCGTTTCGGCTGGTGGGCTAGGGAACTAAGTCGGTCGCGTTCGTCAGCGAATGATAAAGGCCTGGTTCAGCTAGAGATCACAAAGGCACTCGCCTATTCCGCGACGATCATTACTCTGTTGTCCGTTGCATAGGACGAGTTGGATAGATTTTGGACGGATGGTCACATCTCCACCAGGGTTTTCGCGCTTGTTTCGGAGTTGCCGAATCAACCTTTCGGAAAAGCATAGGTCACCAACTGCAGCTTACCTGGTTTCGTCAGATCCACCTTTTAGTAATTGCTTAAATAAACATGACTGCACTGTACTTTACAGCTGCAAGCATTGTCATGTCACAATAAGCGTTACGCGTGACTTTACTTGACGTGTACAACGAGGTGAGCGAAAACATGCTACTACTGACATCCCTTTACACTTCTTCTCCCCACTCTATCGCGAGTACTTTCTCTGCTACAGATTGGCACTAGGACTGCCGACTCTGTTAGCCTTCTATCATCACGTTCACCTCCTATGGTGACCCCAAGGACTTCGAATTTTATTTCCAGACCCTGAAGACCGGTCTACCTAGCTGTCATTTATGTTTCCATCTTCCAACAAACCGGGCATGAACTAAGGTATACCTTATTGCCACCAGCTACTGAAGGCGAAGATTGATTGTAGTGTTTAATCCAGCACGTTTATACTACGGCCGTAGATAGTTTAAGCGATTTCCATGCGGTGTTACGTGTTCCGAACTGGTTTTTGAAGTGTGCAAATACCGGCGAACTGTGTATTGTCTTTTGGCTAGGGCTAAGAGCGAGTACAATAAATGCATTGAAACAATCTTTCGAACGAAGTAAAATCCATCTCCACTGTTCCACATGATAGGTCCATTACCCACCAATTAGCTTAGGTTTAGTCACTTGGCTACTTTTCACATTGTCTTCTTGATTTTCCCTGTCCACAGTTCACAACTGTCTTGAAAGTTCCAACGCAGTTTGTATCACCAAGACCATGGAAGGTAAGTCTTTTATCGCCTTGTTGAATACACTTGGTCATTCAAAGGGCGAGCAACCTGTTGAACAATTGTGTGTATGTTTATTGTGTATCAGGCATCCCCGAAGTCCATTCTCCGACAGCTAACAGCAAAACACTTAGTTTGCAACACGGTTGTCTGGGGACCAGGTTTCTAGAGGATTTTAGCTGCTGCTGACACATCTTATAACAATTGCAACATAAATTTTGGTGGCTGTAATTTTTCTAAGCGTTGTTGCCACGGCCCAATAGAACAGCGGGATCCGTCACGGGTAAACTGGACCTTGTCATCGGTGAAATGCACTTGTTTGCGCACTAATTCTCTCTTGACGGGAGACTCAACTGAGTGCATTTAAATCGTGTTTGTCATGTTTTCTAACTGAGTGTTTTGCACAAGACTGCCCCTTGTTTCAGTTGGTACGATGTTCGATAGGTCGCAGTGCATTTTCTCGACGGAACATACCACTCATTGGGCTACCGGAAACTGTTCGGCAACCCACGACGGGTTTCGCTCTCCTTGGGGTCCATCAGACTTTCTTCAGGTGCAACCCCCCGCGTTTGATGAAATGCGCTCATTCGCACATCCATTTGGTTTTGACGGGAGACTCATCCAGCTGAATATGTTGTGTATGATGGTCTTCAACCGAATGTACCGCACAAGGACCTTATTATTGTGCGACCGTTTGCGGACCTCGGCAACCTACTCAGCCATACCATCATGGCATCTACAGCGTTTTTTGCATCAGATTGTTCAGTGGGTGGATACCTTAAACAGCTTCCAAGTCCTCCAGACTGGAACATGTATGACATCTTGTTCCTTGAAAAATTACCTTATGCCGTTAGTGTTACGTCAACCAACTCGAACCTTGTAACCAGCTTTCTAGCCGAAAGCTTTGGCTGAATGTTGTAGTTGTTCTCTGTGGGTTTGAGTACAACACCGACAACACCGACTATGAAATTCAGCTGCTGCGCCCATGCTGATGAAGTTCGCAAATTCATGCTATCCGACTGCGCCTGTCGAAGGAAGTGACAGTGTCGTAAAATATCAGTCACTGTTTATTAATAGTATCCATTTCTGCATCGAATTCGACGAAAAACTTTTTTGGTCGAGATCATCATCATCATTGTCAGCTGTAAGAACCCCGTACTCGTCGTACAGTGGTTGTAGCTGCCGCAGTTTCGTTCACCGATGATTGGGGGGGGTAGGTAGCTGCGCATTGCACGCGCGAGCTGGTAAATTGGTGCATAAATCCAGCACTGTCAGTGGGCTGTCAAGTGGGGTTGGGGTTGGAAAAGGAGCAATGCATTGAAGGCAGTAGCTTGGATGCACGAGCGCCATTGAGGGCGCTACTGGGTCATGTCTGATAATTGTCTCTAGCATTGATGTCGCCCGTTTCGGGGTCCCCATCCAGCGCAGCCCATCTCGGGGAGTTCACACATAGTTATAATAGTTAGAGACTTCGATCACAAACAAGACGCATGACTTAATCACAGGCACATCTTGGTGGTATATTTAATAACACTGAGGAACGTATTTCGCATCTTTGTGTTGATTACCAAAGTGTGTATTACTTGAAGTCCCCACGGGACCCAATAAGAAACATCGCCGTCACCTGTCAGGACGAATTTCACTTATGCACTGCAGAATTATGGAATATAGATGTTGATTGAAATCACGCTGTGTAGATTTTCATGAAAAAATCCCCCCGGTAAGCTTGGAGAACGAGCACACCATTTAGCAGTAGAAAAGCTTCATGTTCCCAAGTCTAAAGAAGCTCACCGGAGCTCACAATGCGACGCTGTACGAATATCCCTTTTTTGGGGACATTGACCATCATTTGAATCTTAAATCACACCATAGCGTCTAACCTCATGATGCGAACAGCAAACAGGATTTCGACTTGGTAGAATGCGGTGCATCGGCTGCATCTTCATATTACATCGATTGCTTGAACAGTGCACCACCGACCAGCTGTTGTAATTTTCTTCGACGTCACGAGGCCTTTGGCTCTGTAAATAGTGTATCACGTTTTAGTGTATTCGGACGAAAAGCAATGCTCTCGAAGCTTGTGAGTCTGCTTCGTGCCCTTAGTTTTTACACGTTTCGTGTTAGGTTTCATAATGGACTGTTCAAAAGTTTTCACACTGGTGAAGTTCGCCAAGGTTGCCCTCTATCAATATTTTCGTTCACCTTTTTCAGTGATATATGTGTGATGCACACTCCAAGGATATCTAGGAATCGAAACGTCACTTTGCTAGAAATTGGTGGACTGGGATTATGCGCGCGAAATCGTTTTGTTATCCGACACACTCTGACTCACTCTACTCTAAGTAGAATATTTGAAGTGGTCTCTTGTTTCAGGCTGCTTTGTACCTTCGAAGGTCCAAGCCTTGTTCCATGCTTTTCCTTGTGTCTCTTTGTGCCTTCGAAGTGAACCGCCTGAAACGGTTGATCGGTTGGCAGCTGCATAAGCCTTGATTTTACTGTGTCAGATGCACGCATTAGCAAAGTCACAAAGACCGCCTCATGCTTTAGTTGGTCGTCGTCCTCCTCACTGACGACAACACCAAAGGAGAACGCTGATGTTTCACTGCCTTCCAACCATATAACTTTTTAGTTGAATTTGATATCTGAGATATTGGGGTATAGTTTCTTGATAGGGCGCACTACTCGCAATGTTACTGAAAGCTCTTGGACAGCTCACTACCGGTTTCGCTCTTCCTGATGCTCATCAGCTAGGCATACTCCCCTAATTTCCGTCGGTCGCATGTTCTATTTGAACACCAGATTGAATGTAAGTCACTTGCTGTAGCTCTTGTTGACCATACTTTTCAACTGAATGCTCTGTCTCGTATTTCTATACTGTAGATATCGAGGTGTTTTCCTTGATATGAGCGAGATGTTCAGTTGAATTTCGGTTGAATCTCCCATGAACGCCAACTTAACTTATAGTGATTTGTTTGTGTTTGTTATGTCAACCGTAACTCTTGTTGTTGTCCCTACATGTGATGTGCTTTTTATTGTTCCCAGCGCTACTGTCAACCGTACATGGCGTTGGCCACGGCCTTTCAGGATCCTAATCCAGAGGCTCTCGAAACGGTGATTGAGACCCATCGTAACACATTTGTCGCGGTAAGTTTTCCGATCTTACTATTGTAAATGCGTCCAATAACTATCATAATAAAGTCAGACTGACTTCTGAATTCGATCTTTGATACATACCCTAACGAGCTTGGTGATGCTGACTTCAGGAAACTGGGTATCGTCGATTTGTGGAAGCCTGAAGTGATCCACATATGAGGTTTTCTAGGTGTAAAAAGTGGAATGAAATGTGATCTGAAATATGACTTGTATCCAATTCATGTGTAATGCCGTTGTCTAAAATAATGCAGGCAAAGGGTTACACAATCTGTGGTTTTTGGTCGAACTATCAGTACCTTATTAGTAAGAAACAAATACCATGTTAGAATGACTGACCGCTCCTATGGGCACGCGTTCACTTTTCCTCGTTCGAAAATCAGAAGTTTTGGCAAGGGTATGAACCTCAAAGGTTTCGGGATATGTCGCTTACATCATTGGGGCATCATTGGTAAAGTGGAATGGGTACAACTGAATTGGACTTGGTCACCGGATCAGTTTTTGGAAGATTTTTTCAGAATCCCCCATACACAGCCCTGGTTACACCAATAAGGGTATACCACGTCCTAGAGCTTTTAGGACATATCTTGTTTAGTAAGGGCACTTAGGAGAACCAACAGTCTAACACTCAAAGACAGGGAGATGCTGTATGCACTCCGCTGCCGCAAAACCGATGGCGTGAGAGCTACTGTTCTAGGGTAGACACCTTGAGACACAGCGCAAGGCAACGGAGAAGTGACTTTATAATTACTGTTATACTGGGAGTGATTATCGTATTCAATACGGGCGTGCTTGTTAAATACGGTCATAGCCACCGACTTGTTTCGTTTAACTGGCTAGAAGCTTCCTTAAAGAGAAGGGGAGGAGAGTGTTGGGATCAAAGACTGTAATGAGAGACCATCTTTCACTGTACGGGTCCCCACTGTTGATTCTCAGTCTGATTAAAATAGGTGGTATTAGGTGGCTTGTTGAGTTGCTATTAGAAATATTCTGCTCATCAGTGTACGTCTCCTTCTTTATTTTGGCGCTCCTGGACGGGTTCACGTACCGGTGCTCTCTTGGGGTCTTTTATCGGTGTCAGGTGAAACCATCTTCCTAATTTCTGGCACTCCTTTCTTACTTTTTCTTGGCTTGTTTGGCCCACCAAGCATTTACTTCGATGGGTTCACCCAGTTTCACCGGGTGGCTGAAGGTATTGTATAAATTAGAGTAGTGCTGGGGATCAACAGTGCTTCGTTTCCAAACTTTAAGGAACGCCATATTTCTTGCCAAGTTTGGCTAATGGTATGGTGAAGATAGCAGTCTTTTGTGTACTGACCTCTGGGGATTTGTCAGTTAACAGTCTCTGAAACAAATGATTCTAATATGGAAAAACCTTAGAAGTGACTGGGAGGTGTTTTAGAAAAGTTTGTTAAATGAATCTCCCGTTTGTCCACTTACTTTTTCCGAAGGATGATTCTAACGTTCGAGGCATGTGAATTCACAGCACATAAGCGAAACTGGCGCGTTATTTGTAGCCGCAGTGCTGAGAATCGAGAAATCGAATAAATATGTGGACGGAGTTCACGCGCGTGTTTTGTTAGCTGATGACAATTTCGGACTAATCTTTTATCTGAGGGGTGAATGAAATCAGGCCTCACCAATTTTTCTGGAAACTACCTATAGAGTAAGAGACAGTGAATACCTCGTTCATGGAATGTGTTCACTATTATTGTCAAACATACAGCGTGGAGGCGATTTCTGACAGGTATCTTGTCCAGCAGATTTTGTACTCATTAACTTCACCTCTTCGGGTTCCTTCTGACGGTGAGCGGAGAGAAACTGACAATTTTGTTAAACGATTACTTCTTGGGCTCATATTTTGAATACACAACAGGCAGTACTGCAAGTTGAGTGCAGTCTATGAGCAAAAGCAGCCCGTTTTCCCATTTGCTTCTGAGTAAGGACATTTAACACTGCCAACGGACTGAGCATTGCGGCTTGGGGATGGATATAGATATGTATTGGAATGTTGTAACTGATGGATGTGCATTTGTTGAAGCGAAAGGTGATTTAAAGCGATCCTGTGAGGAACCTACTGTCAGTGGTGGGTGCATGTGAGGAGGGTCACCCAGGTGGAGACCTCAAAATATAAAGGTTAAGCTCAAACCACGGACAGCTGCAATCTGCCGCTAACTCAAGTTTGCTGGCCAGTTTAGCGCTCCGTGACTAATTACTTCTATGCTTCCCTCCAGGATCACAATTATGGATTGGTGAAGCAAGTGGCGAAAAGTTACGTGAAATTTCGAATCCACAGTCTGACCAAAGTAGGTTCATTTTTGATTAACTATTGGTTTGCCTGTAAGCTTGTTTATAACACGTAAGTTTTGTTTTGCTTTTCAATCATAAGGCTCTTATCTACTCACCTTAAGGACGAAATATGAATTTTATCTGGATACCTTAACACTACCTTCCCAGTTAACGGAGGATCGATTTTTCTGGCATGTGTTTTCTAATGCAACTCCCTTCTTCCAAACAAACCGAATATTCATAACCCTATAAGAACAGCTTTGAGGTCTCCTTATGATTTGCGCCCCCTATCTGGCAGGCAGTAATCTAAATTGGCTTTTTGACTATCACCCTAAACGCTTATCACATAAAGACTGTTGCTACATTCCGCAACACGAATGGAATGTGGTTAGGCCAGATAGGTAGGTATGACTCACCGCAGGGCTGGGACATTTCGTAAGTTTCGACCTATCGGTGAAAGAAAGAAGGCCTTCGCTGCGGAGCTATTTATTGGGAAATGTCAACTGACCGGTTACAGACCATTGGACAGGGAAGCAAAACTCTCATTTGTATCTTATTTACAAAAACTGGACATCCATCTTCTCCTGAACGCGTCTTCTTGAACTTTCCTGGAGATTCATTGACTCCAATCATTCCTCACTCAAACCCAAGCAAATGTTACAAAGTGACTCCACGATTTCAGCAACAGAGCTCTCCTTTTCAAAAGACAAACCGAAATTCCACGAACAACACATACTACTCGCGTGCCTTCCCATCAGTAGTATCACCGTTACATCGGTAGTAGTCGATTTTATGTATCCGTCAAGGTGCAAAGACATTCTTGATATCAGTAATACATGACCGAACTCGTTACCAGTTACCAGTATGAAGACAACCCTAAACAACATGTGATTGATAGCTGATAGTGATGTGATCGGCCGAAAACAGCATCGGTGCTAAGGATGAAAAAGACGCCGGTAGCTAGTTAACGGAGCGGACGGCTGAATTTCGTTTTAGTTATTAACGGAGTATAATATGGGCGTAAACTGAGAAACCCAGTCCTCATTATCCGACGGGACATCGTCCAGGCAGGAACTGTCTCATTCATTCTTGGGTAACACGCCCCGTTCTCTGTAGCAGCACCAACAGAACTCACGCAAAACAGACGGTGGTAGGGCACTGCTTCCTACTATAATTTTTGTTGAGTCTAACGGATGAAATCAGTGCGCCAATTCTGAAGGCCGAAATCACGTTTGCCATTTGGCGTACGGGGTCTCAAGGACCACCTGTTCAAGGCCACAGTAAGTGATTGCCTGTCATGACCTCCGCTAAAAATAATAATAATAAATGTAAATATAAATAAATAGTGCCTCAGGCGCGTTGCTGGCATCGGAATGCGTCGGCACGTTCATAGCAACGAGTGTTGCATATAGACCGGCATCTGTTGAAAGTAGAGTATCCGTCGCCTATGACTAAGCCATTGATTTTATCTTCAGTTTTCGCCAGTGCATTCGTACCACTGGTGGGTTTTTATCCAACTACCATTCATACCACTGGAGGCTCTGAACAACCGATTACTTTGCATTCATTCTTTTGCACAATATAGACCTTTATGACTATGTCACTGGCCGATGTGGCAAGTCGCGTAAAGCTGGCAAATGCACAAGAAGCGGAAAAATATCTTCTGGAAATGGTAAGTTCCCTTTTGTCTTTTGTAGATTTTTTGGTGGTTTCTCCTTATCTGTGAGGCGCAAGACCTCTGCCGTTTGTGATTCAGCGTACTGTAAAGGTTGGTCTGAAACTGTGACCCTATTCTCGATCGCTTCGCAGCCATTAATCTAAACTTCTCTAATCCAGCTTCAGTCCTCTCACCACAATAGTTTCATCCGTATTATGTGTATAACACGACTGCGCGTATTTCGACCTTGCAAGCAATACGCCCAACCTAAAGCTGGAGGCCACCAACCGCAATACATCTGTGGACAATTGGACCATGTGGACATCAGTTACCGATGTAAAGCCTCAATTAAGCAGTGTCGTTTCTTCTGGGCCACGCAGCTTGACTCTGATCATGCCATTGTGCGAGCCCGGTTATCGCTTCGCTTCCAATCAGCATTAAGTGTGCTAAAACAGAGCAACTCCACTAATCAATTTCGACTAGTTTTAGTAGGTGGTGGTTATCGAGCTGGCCTAGCTAGCTAGCTACTGGAAACACCCAGTCATGCTGAAGCTATGCTCTCGGCTTCCCGAAATGTCTGTCGAAGCCTCCGACTCAACTAAATGAACAGTGGAGATCTCGAGATCAGTAGATCTTATTGCGGCTAGAAAGGCCATACCAGCAACAAGCAACTGTGATGGCGCTCGCAGATCCTTCAAACAATGGATAATCAGGAGAGGCGAGATGGTCCAAGTGGTTAGAGCACGAATTTACTGACTGGAAGGCCCGTGGTTCGAACCCGACTTCTGCCTATCAAGGCTTAGGCAACCTGGCAGTATCCCAGCCCTAGTGCTTCCTTCGGGTTGCATGGCAGCTAGACACCGGAAGGGTGTTACGTTACAGCGTATATATTTTTTTGAATTTCCACCTCAAATGATCGCCAGCAGTTCCCAGAAGATAGTGCTTTTGTCAATTGAAAAATTTCATTCAGTGACGAAACCACCCCAGAAGTCAGGAAGTCTCGAACGAGAAATATCCGTCTAGCTGACGCAACAGCCTTCGGTATCTCAAAGCCTTCGTCTCACAGAGTTATATTCACAGCAAAAAAGTGAATGTTCCCGTTCCTGTAAATTTTGCTGCGTTACGTTAGACACTTCTTGTCAGCTTCATAAACGGAATGCATGAAGTAAGAATTCGGTTTTTTTGAATGATCATCAGCACAGTTTCGTCCTTATAGATGTTCATCAATTGCACACCACTTAGGGTCCACAATCACCTGTCGTTCGTGAATTGAATGTTTTTCAGTTTCATTGGGGTATTGGCTCTAACGATAGCTCAATTGCACAAGCTCACCTCAGGGGAAATCTTTCGATTTGAATGGTCTGTATGCTGGGATCATTCGAGAAACCCGTGACAACCAGGGCTTCGTTGTCAAATTGTTCAGAATGATTGCTACGACGATGACTGAAATTGAGGTTTAGCGAATTATTTCATGTGAAACACGGTCTTTACTGTAATAGCTTAGCTTTAATGGAGCCATCACAACTTCCATCACTTCAAATGCATCCGGTCGGTTTCCTTTGGAGCTTGTTCCACGCCAGTATATAGTTTTGAATCCAAGGATGAGAGAAGTATTGAATATATAAAACCATGCATTATCCACATCAAAACTACTCAACACTCCACCTGATACGGATCAGGCCTACGTGAATTTTAACTCCTATGCACTTAAACTGCTCGTGAAACATAGTGGCTCCACTAGAAGCCATAGTGGTAATAACCTGATCGATTCAGACTGCTTTTTGTTAAACCCTGTCCCTGTAAAGAGCGCAAAAAGACGTTCTATTTCTATGTTTTATCTTCAGGGAGAGTAGTTTCATTTACCCTGCTCCCGCGGTACCTGAATTACAAGCGGTTTGGTCACTTGTTTTTGCCAGTTCATGCGCACATCGTTAGTTGGCTTCCGAATTCGAGTTATTGATCGCGTTATCGAAGATTTCGCAATGTAATTCGAACTGGGACCTCTGGTTATTATCCGATTCAGGTCAAGCGCTTGTCATACGCTATCTACAGCACAAAGCCAGCTAACTTTTTCTTATTGCAGATCGAATCTAAGGCAATATTCGCCAGGATTGATCAACGCAATGGAACTGTGTACTTCCAGGATGATCCCGAACGTTACAATTCGATGGAGATGTTCATGACATTGCAGAAAAAAGTAAGCACATTTTCTGGTCCCCTGTAAATCGCAATGAACCGACCTAACCTCTTCTATGACTAGAACCACGACAACCATGCCTAGCACCTCGAGCTTCGCTATATTCGGTTGTTTAGTTTTCTCCGATCTCAACCAGTTTTAGTCTGTTTCATAATTGGTTGGCGGTCACGGTACACCTCTCTTCACAAGTGCGCCATCTTCATTTGGCGTGGTTGTTTTCCAGCAGTTGAAGAGGTGTAACTCGCGCTGCCATTCGAGAGGTATCACTGATCCTGGCCTTGTACGGTCCTCCATTGAGCTCAAGATGGCTCAGTGGTTAAAATGCGAGTTTACTGACCGGAAGGTCCGTGGTTCGAATCCAACATCTGCATCTCGACTGCTCCTGTCTAGGCATAGGCAACCTGAAAGTATCTCAGCCCTCGAGCTTCCTTCAGATGGCATGGCATCTAGACACTGGGTGTTACAGCCGAACGATTATTATTATCGACGGTCTTCCACTCAGGTTTTCGGGTTAGGATACCGGTCAAGCAACAACCAAATCGTGACATAGTGATGAGTCATCTGATGAAGAACGATTAACATTATTGCGGCCGTGATTTATAGTCTTCTCGTTTATATTTTGCACTTTGAGTGTGTGATGTCGAAATCTTACTTCTTACGGCACGACGAGCTGTTCAGAAATGAAATCGTACTTTGGAGCCTTATAGTAGTGGGAACGACATTCACAAGGCTGCTCTGTTTGCTCGGAAAAACGGCGATAAGAGTTAAGAACCGCTTACAGTGAGACGGAACAAATGAGTCAAATGACCATATCGTCTTGCTTTTTTTCTCGTTATCACTATCTTTCGTCGGTTCTAAGACGAATTTTCCCAGCTATCGCCTATTTCGGTCTGCGGTTACCAGTTTGACAACTTCCATGGGTAATGTTATCAAGTCTGAATTCAGTTGTCACAACAAACTTGCTTTCCATGTACGTTATAGTGTTAAAGGTAGGTAAAAAGCTCCAGTTGGCAACATAAAAATCGATGCGCTCTAGGAATATCCAACATTTTGAACCAACGAGCAACATCACATAGGGGAAATTGCGTCAGTCGGTCGACGGTGCACACATTATGGACAAGAAGTGAACTCTACAGATCACCATTCCGAAAATTGAAATGATCTCCAGACCGAGATACATACGTTCATACGTGATTTGTCAGTGATTCGAGGATACTTGGTACTTTGATTTACTTTGATTCAGGATGCGACCAACACAAAGCAAAGCGGACGGATATGGGCGTTTCCCCTTCCCTTGTAAAGTTTTTTCTTCAAAGAGTGTAAATGCATCTCCTGATGCAGAAAGCCAGTCGTGATTAACCATCCCGGAAGGTAACACGAATCCTTGTAATGAGCAAGTCGTCTCCCAGCCGTGGTTTCCATAGTTGGTGACACTTTTCTGCTGGTTTCCCTAGTTTCGTAACATGACTTGCTTTTATTGTCGAGAGGTTTGTTAGCAGGTGAAGCCATAGATAACAAACTATCACTCATCAGGCACCGCCCACCAATTGACGATAACGGAGCGTGAGTCAGTAATTCTGATATTTTACTTATTTGTGAAGGACATCAGCTGGCGCAGTTGACATTGGCTGTCAGGTAACAACTAAGTCGGGCAAAAGAGTAACAGAATAGTTGGAAAATTAACTAACTTTGAGCTGCTGTACCTCAGCCGCCCGAATAGAACTCGATTTCTCGGGCAACTAACTAATACTTACACGTGTGAGAGCACCGAAGGTTGCCACTGAATAATAGTACCATGTAAGGTAGTACACAGTTTTGGATTTTCCGTCTGATGACAACCCACCACGCCTGGGTTCTTTGAAAGCCTGGAATCTCGCATGAACATAACGGGTTTGAGGGAAGGTGTAAACCTTTATCCTTGCCGTAAACTTCAGAACAGTAGTAAAATATGCTAGGGAGCTCGAGTGAGTTAGTTTGGTTCATAATGCCAGAAGCAGGAAACTTCAGTGTTAATGATATCCGGAGAGAATTTTCCCTTAGAAAATGGTCACATAAGCAAGCCGAGCTCCTTTTTTATACAAGAGTTGTGTAATTGACTTTGCTTTGCACATTTTTATCTCAAACAGCAACTGTTCCAGTTTCTTGCACCCGAATTCAACGTCCACGATGGGTTCATACTGTGCAGTGCGATTATCACTTGCACTGGATACATTTCCGTCCGTTTTTTAAAGCGAGGAGGAAGCGGACAGATCATGGATATTTGGAGACGAGTAGCCCGACGTACAAACCGCACAATTCCCAGAACATTTCTTGTTTTCGGCTCTATCTTAGAGGGCCGAACATGCATACCCACAGCTGTCTTACGCAAATACACAAGATAATCATGCATAATACTGGCTGGGGACGGACTTCATCGGCCGTTACAGAACTACCTCCGTAATACGGTCGAATTCGCATGGCTTCTCCGAATTCGTTTCACCGACATGAACTCCTGGAAGCACGTTACCGGTACTCCACAAACGCACTCGAAATATAATTGATTTCAATTTAATCTTATTGGGTATGGGTGGTTATCCTAGGGCGAGATGGCCCAAGTGGTTAGAGCGCGAATTTACTGACCGAAAGATCCGTGGTTCGAATCCGACCTCTGCCTCTCGACTTCCCGTCTTGGCTTGGGCAACCTAACAGTATCCCAGACCTCGTGCTTCCTTCGGGTAGCATGGCAGTTGGGCACCGAAAGGGTGCTACAGCTGAACGATTGTTGTTTGTTGTCCTGATACATAGACTACTCTTGTGAAGGTTCGTCTTATCTGGCGTTACCTCAGGCTTCGTACCTCTACCAGATGCGTGGCTGCCATCCAGCAACTAATTGCGATGCTGGGTTTATTCTGATGAATATTCAACGACCAATATGCTCTACTGTGATCCATACATGAGTACCGGCCATTTGTATTCGTATATTTCATGTATTAAAAATTCCCTTTCAGATTGAAGAGTGTGTGGCGCTGGAAAAGTATTTGATGAACATTTCGGACGAATTGACGGAAAATCCGAAATATGTAAAGCGAGTAAGTGTTTTGGCGCAGAAACCTTTCTTTTTAGCGTTATTCATTCCTATTCGTAGTTTGAATGGAGCAGAATAGCCTACTGTTATCATTATTACGCACATACTTATCGTGCCCCAGCGGAACAGTTTTATTTTTTATCTCGACATAACCATGATCCTCGTGGACACCACACCAGGGGTAAATACTAATACTTAACGCCATGCATCCATTGGAGGAAGGAGTGGAATGAGTGGGACCTTATCGCAAGAAGTCCTTACCCTAAAAAATTCCATACGGAGCGCTACTAGTAGCAGGCGTCTCAGACTTATAAGTAAATTCTGGCCTTGTCAAATCAGATTCGACGGTACTTCCGGAAGTCTCTACCTGGGAACATGAGTAGTTGACCCTTCACCAAATCGTTCATCTCTGGGGGCCCATCAATTGAGAGGACGGTTTCGGAGCCCCGGAAAGCAGTTATATTGGAACGAAAGCTCTTGAAACGACAGACAACTGTGGACAGCTCTTCAAGGGTCCAAAGCACTCAAATATTGATACGTAGTTTGACAAGGTATTACTCCATTTTGCCATATTGTAGCATTTGGTACTAAAGGACCACTTGGACGAACTTGCACCTGCCAAATTACTTTTTCAGATGCTCGAGCTTGAGAGTCGCACAGCAAAGCCATCTGGTCATTACTGACTTGCTTGTATCATTACCAAGACTAACAAAACGCAACATCGACCCTGCAGCCCAAGGTCTTCACCCTTCAATGTTCAGTGCAACGCAAATAAAATTCATACTAAATTGTCTGCAGTATTTGATTACGAGCGGGATGGGGTTGTACAGAGGGACTGGATGAAGCGGATCAACGCGCCTTCCTGTAAGGTAAATTAAAGAAGAGGGAAAAATATGCCTTTAAGTTGGGTAAATACAGGTTGAGCTTGTCACATGAAGGAGGAATCAAGGTGCAAAATTTAGATGAGATTCTGTGAATATACATCCAAAACGTTTTGTACAGGATGTTTTCCCCAATTAGGGATAAACATGGACTTTTTGGACAGCTTCACGTCGTTCGACCGATATGGTTTTGTGTATAACAGGTTTAACTGACGAAACGGTCACGGTGAGTATCGGTCCCATGTTGCTTCGCTTTCAGAGATGAAATATTTAGGGCAGTTCCTCTACTCGTACACAGAGAGCAGAACGCGATTACTCATTCTCTCAAGGTTACAATCAGAGTGAATTTACAGACCTCGTCGGTGACATCATGAAGCTTTGGAAGTAGTGACAAAAACAGCTGAATCGAGGAAGTAACCTTGGACTTCGAACTGTGCTTGGTTCATAAAATCGTTGTCGTTCCAAATGGAGCAAGCTGAATTAGCCCAAGGTATTTGATACATCCTCATCATAAAAACAGGAGTCAGCTGAATTTCCGAAAGAATATTGACAAATATATTTCATTTTGGCATCTATGGGGTTACTCTGTCTTATAAAGAAACATTAAGGACCCGATTTGGCCACCGAACATACATGTACCGCTTTTGCGAAATACACTCATTTACAAGTTAAGCTGGTCCTAACGGGAGGACCAAGTGAATGCTAGCTGATGACCCTCCATCGAATGCGTTGCATCAAGGCCGCCTCATGTTTCAGCGGGTAAGATATCACGAGATATTTTCCCGACGGAACACACTACTCATAAGGTTGCTGAGAACTCCTTAGAGGCCCACGATTGCAGCACTCGGGTAAACCAGGTGGGCTACAATAGAGCTTTGAATGCAACCGTAGCTGACTGTGGTAAGCCACTTAGGCCAGTGTTTTCTGGTTTGCATAGTCCGGCCGTACCACCTATGTAAGTGGCAACACGTTCACAATTGAACAGATAAATAACCATGGGTGTCGGCAATGGCAGTTTGTTCTCATTTTGCAGACGAAGAATGGAGTCGAGAACAGACGGCGAATTTTTTATAGCGCCGACAAATTTGACATTTGTAGAGGGGGTTGTGTTTAACTTTTCAGCCATAAAGTCACTGTTAAAAGGGAGCGTTAAAAATAACTGTCTGAATTCGACTCCCTCTATCCTCATCCTCTCGGCGATCCTTCGCAAGCCATTTTGAAATATTTCTGATGATATCTATTTCGTATTTTATTTTGCCAGCAGAACGTAGTTCCCCAGCTCCCGGAGCTAAGCAGCGAACCAGGTTTTGCTTCTTTAGTAGAGGAACAAAGCTGCGGAAGTGTGTATTGCCCTTGTCACGTTTATCTTTCCTTGAATGGCGCCATCGGCTCGTCTGGTCAATAACATACAAAGAATGGAGAGTTGGTTGTTTGCCCTTTTGTTGTGAATCAAGTTTATTGCAGAACATGAGACATTGAAACACATACGAGATGTGTCTGACTCGAATCCTCTATCAACGATTCTGCGATGTTGGCGAATTCCGATCTTTCCTAACTCAGTCTTCCAGTTTTACTATGAAGACCTCAGTGAACAATGGACTCAGGAGTACTCCGACGCCTAAATCAAACGGTTTACCGAAAATAGGTATAATTGAAGCTGGAATTTACGTTCACTGAAGAACTCGAGAGGAGTCCTTTCAATATATTAATGGGTATGCATAAAGCGGCATTTGGGCACTCAATCTGTGTGCATAAGTAAATAATGGCGCCAGTGGAGTCGCACTTGAAGCCGCAGGAATTAGGTTATGAACACAGTTCCACGACCGATATGAGGTCTCTGAACTAAACCGCGCTGACTCGAATATGACACGAACGGAAACACGAAGCGGCCTTTGTGCAGCTCATTCTTGAACGAGTTGGGTCTCTCGTTAAAACCAAATTGGTTGGTAAATGAGTGCATTTCGTACAATTTGGGTTGAAGTAGAACATAAAGCTGACGGAATTCGGGGGCTCAGCCTAGCTGACGAGCCTTAAGGAGAGCGGAATCGGTCGTGGGGTGTCGAAAGGTTTTCAGTAACCTTAAGGCTCGTGCGTTCTTGTATTTGACCAGGGATAACAAGTAGAACTTGTTCCCCGTAGCCTAAGCCGAAAACCAAACTCGAGTTAGGAATAGCGATTAACACAGAGGACGCTACCCAAGTTATGCTGCCAAACGATGATGAATCACATCAAAGGATGAAATAGGTACTTGGCTAATAGCCTACCAGATTGGTTTCTTCCGAGCTTTTTTCTGACCAGGGTTCTTCCTCTCCGCGAACCGATCATCCTGAATCAGGAGACCGCTCACACAAAGCCGTTGTCTGCCCGTTTCTGGGGGAAGTAGTGATGCCAAACATCTTGAAATGGCAAGTCTGAGGGCATTGGCCGGAGAACTGGTTCCCGTTTCCGTAACGGTAGCCACAATGTCCACTTGACCAAGTGTTTCTACAGAGCATTCGGAAACGAAGAAGTAAATCGAGAGCCGAACATAAAATACTCACAAGGTTATATGCAAGAGGTCTATAAGTGCTTATGGATTCCCGCAGTGAATGTGATGAACGAACGAACTGACCACCCAAGGTGTTAACATTGTCTATCAGCTAATACGCATTGCCGAGTCTGAAAAAATCCTCGACGTCGTGCTTAGAAAACGGATAGGGATAATGTGCCAGAGAGATTCTGCATATCTGTAAGGTCTGACGACAATTTAATCCTCTGCTCACGTAACTATTCAAAAGTATGCTTTTTTGGTGTATGGCATTCGGAATCGCTAGTTAGTAGAATGTTCCCATATCAACTAGCAAAGCTGTAGAACTCCCCTGTTTTAGAATGGGAGTATGAAGCGGTTGTTCCTCCCCATTAATTTTTTGTAAGTCTCTTATTCAGCTCCAAATAGTGTTTTACGGTACATTGGTGTTGGCTGCTACAGTTCCGTTCACCGGGGATACGGAGAATTTGGGAGTAACAACCATGCGTGGAAGACGATGGTCCGATAAGTTTATTGACGGCAAATTGCTCTGCTCACCTGGTAAAACAAGGAGCGGAAGATGGTGAAAAAAACCTTTCAGTTATGATACTTTCGGCGCATAGTTACCATGCCATTCGAAGCATAGGAGCTGAGATATTGTCGGGGTGTTCACGTCTAGACAAGGCAGCCGAAGTAGGGTTCGAACCACGCCTCAGCCACAGAGCCATCTCGGGCTACGTACTGAAGATAATAACTTTGATGCAGGACCGTCAGTGGCTGTGTGAGAAGATTGTCTGTTAGGGTTTCTAACAATTACTGGTCTTGTCCGGGACACGACAGCTACCAACACGACCAAGTTGACCGAGAAGAGCTTTCACGCTTCACTGCCCATGGGTAGTCCACACCTGACACGGTGGCGCGAACAGAGCTCCGCGAGGCAACCACTCAGCTAGTATAAGAATTACACCGCCTAACCAGCGTAACTTATGGAGTACGGTCAGATGATCTACTGAGTTACTTTTCCTGAAACCTGTCTTGCGTATCCAAGCACCATTGATCCGATCTCTCCATTAGACCCGCGAAGTGGTTCGGAGGCTGTCAACACATGGTGCACTCGATGAACTGCGCGCAGCGATCACGCCTATTACCCACGAAGTAAGATCGCACCACATGAGTATAAACCCTACGTATGACAGCACAAATGACGTCATGCCTGTGTCACAAATTTCGCAGGTCGGTAAGGGCCGCTGTGACCTTACCGATTCGAGAAGTGAGCTTGGCTGAAGCCAGTCCGCCGGGATTCATATAGCTGCTTTGGTAGAGTGTATTTATCACACTGATAGGGTGGTTTGCAACTACGAGGTTTACCTTTGTACATCTAGTCTTGTACTAGCAATTTACAATTTGCAAATATGAAGTTCGTTTCTAGCCACACAACGAGAACATCCAGATTACTCAAGTAGTTTGAACTTCGAAATAGTCCAGTCCTAGAGCAGCGATATTGTCAGCGCACTCAGTGTCTGTGAAGGGACGTCAACTGGGAGTGTTTTAATCCTCGAGGTGTCATAGTCATCATCATCATCATCGACAGCATAACATGAGTGTTCATAGTCATTAAATCATCATCGACAGCATAACATGAGTGTTCAACACCGATGCTTCATGGCCTCGAGGTGTCAAGAGTAGCTGAAGAGAATAAAGCATCACATCGATTACCAAGTTAAAGAGGTCAACCTCGCCTGTCACCACTGGATGTGGTGAACTCGGGCGAAAGTTTGCCGGTCGACCCGTACGTGCCAACAGGAGTCGAATACAGATAAATGACAACTTAGAAAGAAGCCCATTCACTTTCAATCAAAAGGTACATGATCTAGTTTATACGCAAGAAACGTATAAGAAAGGAATCGAAGGCGTTACCCAATCTGCATCAGTGAACATGACCAATATGTTACGATACGCAATCACCGCAAACGGTCGACACCTTGAGGACTCAACATATTCGGCATTAGTCGTCCTTTTTCGCACTTATTATGGCCGGAAGATGAGAACGTGGCAATTCTGGTCACCGATTACACATAGTACTTGCGAAACAACTTAACTATGTGTGGTACCCAATCGGTTGCTGTTTCTTGGTGCTTTGAAGATGGTTTATTCTTTTCCTGCGCTGAAAAATACTAACCACCCTTGGATATCCCGAAACCACGTAACGAACGACGTGTTTGGGTGGGCAAGACTAACGGCTTTCCGAACAGTCTTCTCGAGGCCGTGTCAAACACAAGAAAATTATTGATTAAATACAAAAGGGCGAGAACTACTCACTAGTCAACTGTAATGGAAACATGATCTGTTCACGATTACCCAATTCGGGGAACCTTTCTAGTAATCGCTTGCCATTGACGGTGAACTGACCGGACCCCGGCATGTAGACGGTAGCCTCTGCAAAACAGTGCCGCTTCTGACCGTAAGCTTTGATAAATCGTTGTTTGGTGACTGGATCAATTTCAGGCTAAGGAGAGCTCATATAAAATTGTTAGTATAAGGAGATGCTTACATCTGGATATTTCTCCGTCGCTCCAACAACGATCTGATTAGCACGGAATCGCGATATGAAGGAGTTGGCCATTGATGCCAAGGGCTGGGCTGCAATTCGGTTCATCAAAACAAGCCACTGTTCATACTGAAATTAAGAGTATGTGAGAGAGTCTAAAAGGACCTACTTGTGTGTCTGTTATCTCTTCTGACAGATGTTTCTCTAGTTGGGGCTTAGTGAACCACTCGGTCGATACAAGTATGCTGGAAAAAAAAACAACAGCAGGCATTGAGACTCGACATAACATCTAGAAGTTTTGCGAGGCGATTATCAGGTTTCATTGTGTGGGCTACTAAAATACACCGAAAACCCCACATCAGGTGTTAACGGGAGACAAGAAGCATCGGCAGCAAAGCTCAAAAAGATACGGGAACAATTCAAACATGTTGCGGCCTAGCGGACGGTCAGAAATAGAAGTTGTAAAAAAAGATGTAATAAGCACACTCCTGATGAATACAAAGGCTCCTCATACGCGTGAAAACTTACACCAGCCATAATATTCGACCTTGCTGGAGATAAACGGATTTTGTCACCAGATTAATCTGCAGAACATCGCCAGTGAATTCCGAGGATTTACTAGAACCTGAGTCAGAACTGGGACTAAGTAAATCCGGCAATCCTGGGTTGCATTGAAAAGAGATTTCATTGTCAGTGAAGCCGATCTGTGCTGAAAAACCGAAACACTACACAACTGTTTCATGCTTATTGGGAATCATCAGCAGTGGACATCCAACGAGACTCAGTTTTGAACTTGCAGCCTTCTGCTTAGTGGTTAGACACTTGACCGTTTGGCGACGAGCGGCTTATCAGCTGGGTTGCGTTAAGCACAGGTGCCTCCAACTTTCAATTTCAGATGTACCTTAAGTAGTTTGGAACGGTACTTTAAAGAAGTGTGGCTTACAGGAGACAAGCAGACAGGTGTTTAACGAAATAGCTTATACGACGGATGGCCTAAAGTGAGGAGAGCACATCGTATACTTTCATCGTGCTCTTAGAAATCACAACGCGACGCCATAAAGCAAGTTGCCAAATAAGTGCAGTCAACTGCACACAAAGTGGATATGCGAATTCACAGCAGGTTTTACATTTGTGTAAACAAGATGAGCAAAAACTTTTGGGTTGAACACTGATTCGCATATTCAGTCGGTGCTAGTGTAAGATTCAACCGAGTAATTTACAATGCAAAGGATCCTAACGGCCTTGTTCGTCCAGTAAACAAGATATGGGAAAGTTCTCCAAACGAGTAGTGTGGTAAGGCTGTTCGCAACCCACCAAATGCCCAATGCCACTTTCACCTCGTTTGGGGCTCGTCGGGTGAGAAAGACCACTAATGAGCTGTCAGCAGCAGACATGATGAGGCCAACAAACTCGCTAACAAACCTGAGATTTACGGGGAAGGTTATGGTATCTTCCAAGTTAACTTTTGTCAGCTTTGATTACGGACGCCGCGGTAGCGTAACACGTGGAAAGGAATTAGTGTCGCAGCATGCATTTTCAGTACAAACATCACCCGAAACGCATTACTTGGATGATTCTAGGAAGTAGGTTTCGATCCTCAAACGATCCAAGGTCAACTGTTTTTACCAGCCCGTATTCCACACCTAGTAGCTCTGTGTGAGGAGCACCAGAATTTGCGGACTCCCTTTGGGTAGCTAGGGTCACCTGCTTAGATCAATCTCTGAGTCACTGCTCGTGGCCTGTTTAGTTCTGACTGCTTCTACCTGACGTCTTTAGGTTCAGTCAATGCTAAGAATTTCCGCGCAAAACTGAAGACAAATTGCGTTTATTAACAAAATCAACAACACTGTTGTAAACAGCCACGGTCCATTTCCCTACTCCTATCACCGTATTTTGAGCTTGTTCCAAAGTTTAATCCCAAAGCAGAACCATAGGTCTAATATGGGAATGTCTTTATTATCCAAATAGCATTACGTTACCAGGGAATTTGGTCTTTACTACAGGTTTTTCTGTGACCCAAACCCTTCACTATATTGTCAACACCTGATTGACCGTCTCGTGTCCTGCCTCGAACTGAGCTAACTTTGGTGAAGCTGACAATTCCTATTCCTGGAACACTCACACAGACATGGAGTGAAATGAAGTGTGCTTACGAAAAGAAGGTGCTCAGAGGGCTTGGGCGAGTGATCGGGGTGGAAATCAAATGTATGCATAAGATCTATATCCATGCAGCCTTAGACAACGAAAGCTGCCGGAAAGGACGGCTGGTACTAGGAGTAGGTTCGTGGCGAAGGATCAGGTTTTTGGTTCTCCAGCCTTGATCTCGACAAGTTCAACCGTGTTTGCAGTCCGAATAATGTGTGTCACTCTTGCTCCTTAAATAATGCGTTAATTCTCAGCCAATACATAGTTGTTGTTCTATTCCTTAAACGCCACCGCTAACGCACCGGTAAGAAAACACTAGATACGAAAGAAGCGATGATGAAATTTCATCTCATTTTGACTTGTTAATATGAAAGTGCTCCGGTATCGAATGATGAGTACTCCCTAAACCAGGACTAATGGGAATCTGCATGCTGCCAGTCTCGCTTCAAAGCAGACGTTTACTAAGTTCACTCCGTTGTTTCAGCAACAAGTGCGTACGCCTAGGCCGCAGGTCCGCTATAATTTGACTACGGAGACGATTTTGGTTGCGTTGGCAGAGGGCTGCTGCAGCCGACAAAGGTAGCCAGACTGCTTCACCAACCACATACAAGTCTGCTCTCGACTGCCACCTAACAGCTATGTTCCCAGGATGCTAACTTTTCCCTTTCTTTCTCATCGTACGTAAGAGCTCTCCCATCTAGTGCACCTATGCAGAAATGGCTATTGGTCGCAGCTACAATGAGTCAGGGGAACAATTTCAGTCACACAGTTTCCTGAATGAAGTTCTTATCTGTTACGGACAACATCTCAACGCCCCTGAAAAGCTAACCGTTTTTTCCTCACAGGTCAATAATATAAAACCTCTTTGGTAGACTTGAACCACTCGCGGTTTCCAACGGGCTCCCAGGTCCTATGGTGTGAATTATCTAGGTGTGACCCTATCAAATAAAATTATATGGTCCTCGAAATACAGGCTGTGTTTAGTAAGGTTCAGCGTCTAGATTCTTTTCTCGATATTCAGAGCGCTTCCCACTCCTCTCAATCTCTTGAGTAGGTTGATTATTCCATATATCACCACTACTGGATTTATTGTTCCCTTGTGCTCTATTCCGGGGGCTCTTGGATAGAAATTTCCGGCTCATTATTAGGCGAGACACCGCATGTAGTACAGTCTCACGAAGTGTATTTGTCACTCTCGGAGCAAATGTGCATTTTGGCGCTACTTCCAAATTCACTGACATTCAAAATTTCTGACGTTCATCACCCTGTTAATCGCCTTAGGGAGGGGGGGGGCGATCAGAGAACGAACTGTACAAACTATTAATCATACTACTGTAATTCCGTAATTCTTTACTCGGTTCATTTTCTAGTTGATCCCACTACTCTGTCTGACAACTTCGTATTGCGGCTACCCATTCAAAATGTAAATCGACGGATATTCTTAGTGTGAAGTATGTGAAACTACTTAGACGTTTCGGTCTGAAAGTACTATATTTTAATAGGCCGAAAATCCACCCCAGAGGGCGCAAAACTAAGCTCGGTTTGATATAACTTGATTGATTTGACCCATCAACCTCTGATTTTTTCTATCAATTTGCGACATCGCAGTTGAAAAGTTTAGATGAAACTACAAACGGGATTAAATAAACTTGTCAGACGGTCACAAAAACATTGCCTTTTGTTTCCAGATGCCTCTTCTCGTACCAGGTGAGTGCAACCAGGATTCGACTGACGGTCTGTCATCGTTTATGGTTGACTGCGTTTGCCTCCTAAGATCCATTGATATGAGATGCCTTGAGATCACCCCAACAAAGTTGTTTACCTCATGTTCGAAATGTTTTCACCGATGTTCAACGACTTCCTCTTTAAACTTTCACACTAAGAGTGCCATTCATCCTTTTAGCTCTCAATAGCAAATTAACTACTGCATGTTTTTCTACGTTGGATTTGCAGTTTATTTGTTACATTCCCCAAAATTTCGAGTAATTAGTGCTGTCTCCCAGTTAAGTTCACTAAAACGCTTCTCTGAGTGCATTAGAATTTCCAGAAATGTCTTACCTGGCAAGCGCAACCTATCACACCTCCTCATTCAGCTTAGATATTGTAAACTGTCGGTTATGTGCCTATTTTTATATCCGCCGCGAGTGCCTGTTGAAAACACGTCTCTCAGAGCCTATAAAATTGTTTGACTTCAAGATTGCCTATACAGAGACTACAAAACTGGTTAAGAAAAACAATACTATTGTCCACATCACTACAACGGTGTTAAATTTTGGCGCTGAACTGCCACAAAACAAGAAGGAAAGAACATCCCAATAAAGAGTGGAAAATGAGAACTTACAGCGGGGCGACGGTTTTCAGCGGGTTAGCATCTTTCGTTACATACATACGGTCGTATTCCATCTTTAGAGATTCCAACTTATAAGCTGCTTCCTATATGGCGTTGAGGGAGTAGGAAAATGACGTTACATTCATCATAGAATAGAAATTCGGATGTCGAGTGTAGAACATGTCGTGCTGAGGACGACCTGTAGCATCACACAGAAGACCTAGTGGGAATATCAACATGTGGATATTAGAGCACGAGTGACACTCACGTTTCTCCTTCGGGAAAACTTCTTCTGGGGGCTGTTTGTGAGGAAGAATACATCATATAAGAACAAAATGTCCACTTGCTTTTAGCTTTGGTCGTGCTTTGGGACTGAACAATCCAGATGGGAAGAGATACCGAATGGACTCATCGATTTTATCCTGGGTGAAGGTTTCTGGATCTTCACCCATAATTTGAGCTAGATATTTTCGGCCCCGTTCAAATTCTTCTCTTTCTGTTTCTAGCATTGTGTCTGTCGAAATCCGTTTGGCCCATTACGAAAGAAAGAACTCACCATACTCATTCGCACGCTTTAGGTATGATTTGATGGACGATTGAATTTTCAAGCTTTTCGGTCTTGCGTCAAGAGCAGACAGAATCCCAGAATCTGAGGAGTAAGGCTTTTGGAATTCGGTCCAGAACGACTAGATCTACCCGAAGGAAACTGGAAATCCTTCCGACATATCGAAAAATTATACTGCCACTCATCGTAAAACTAGCGGTCAATACCTACAAGACAAATACAAAAGTGCGATCGAATGATTTTAAGAGCGTGGTATCTAGCCTTGGCGACGAGAAAGTCCTGCGCGCATCCATTTTAATTTACAAACGAATGAATGATGCAAGCAAAAGGGGTGGGATGAACAATCTACTACTGAAGCCCCAGAACAGATTTTATCTAGTCCACAAACAATCTATAGGGTTTACGTGGAAAGATGTGCTGATATATGGGGTCAACACTATTAACCATGTGAATGCAAGACGAAAGAAGACCAATTGGTAGGAACGGAAAACTTTAATATCAGTAATCGTGGTCACCAGCCAGGTTCACTTAGTCAGCTATCAGCTAGGCATGGAAATACGCCAAGTCAAGTTCTTACAGTTTCGCCCACCGAAATAAGTGGCTAACTGATACTGAGTACTTTTAGTTATCTGGGAGACCAGGAAATCGGACAGCCACGCACTAAAGGTAACAGCCCTGATGCGGTAGGGTGATCAAATACGTGCCTGAGCCGTGTCTATCAGTGTCACTAGCCAGGGGGCGAGATGGCCCAAGTGGTTAGAGCGCGAATTTACTGACCGGAAGGTCCCTGGTTCGAATCCGACCTCCGCCACTCGACTTCCCCTGTCTAGGCTTGGGCAACCTGGCAGTATCCCAGCCCTCGTGCTTCCTTCGGGTGGCATGGCAGCTAAGGCACCTGAAGGGTGCTACAGATTTCACTAGCCAGGGCTGTGTCCCTATCCAAGGAGCCGGCAGTTCGCGACCTGAGTGAATTTACCGGTTAGAACTTTCACATCTCGTTGCCAGGTCGTAACTTCGGTTTCGTAAAAAATCGCTCAGCTGCAGCACCCTTTCGGTGCAGAGGTCGGGTTCGAACCACGGACCTCCGGTTAGTATATTCGCGCTCTTACCACAGAGGCATCTCGTAAGCAATCCACTTCAGTTATTCTACCATGAAACGTGTACACGTGTATTTCGGTCCCGGCTGCCGCATCGCCTAGGTAGCATGATAAATAATTAAGATGGGGTTCGCCCACCTGTTCCTGCGAGTGATTGTATATGAGACGCGTTATGATTGAACGGTGACATCAGCAGTCACTAGATGAACGTTTTTATACGGCTTCTGAAAAGCCAGCAGTAAGTCTTCACTTCCCGGTCCACATATCCAAATCTGAGCCTTTCAAAACATACCTCTCACAGTTGTGCAACAGAAAGGCGCCCGTGTTGCTGCCGGAGATTCTATACACAATATATCTGACGTCAATTTTGGGCGAGTGACGGAAAAAATCGCACTGTACATTCCACAGCTCTTGCCACGGCTTTTTGAAACTAGTAACTATGAGGCACTCTGCACGTACATGCGGTTAGCTTGTTGTCCTGGTCCCGTCCACGGCCAGTCACTGTAGACCGGGAACTCACACTACCTTCTAAAACCACCCCATACAACTCCGAACATCTATGCAGACCCTCAATTGTGACCTGAGTTCTGTTGACCTGATGCCCTGGTGACTTCATGTCACAAAACCGTAGAGCTGCAAGGGAGTATTTATGATCTCGGTGATTAGATCAGGAGCTCTTGGTCTGAACGTCGACAGCTCAGACCCATCCGACATTTCGACTGCTTTGGCTAGATTCGGTCAACCTGAAGCAACTCATCCGGATTTCACAGCCGTTGTGAAGGTAGATTGTAAGGGTTGATCGACATGTTTTTGTCGCGCTTATCGAGCTGTTATTCAGCACACACCGGATCCGTTTTATCCAAACCAAGGAGTTCCGTTAATATATAATTATTTAGGACACAATGTGCAGGACGTCTCTCCTGAGTTGAGCATGTACGGGTTCAGATGCACTCGTTGGTATTTTCCTGTTGCAATTCAGAACTTGACAATGGTGGTGTTGTTTAGTCTGATCCTCAGTGACCAGTTGGTTAGATGATGCGGGATTATTCGACATCTACGCGTCTGACAGATACAAAACCTATGACGTCTAAATTATAAATTAGTGCTCTTCGATGAGTAGACTATTTGCATCCACTACTATTCGCGTTAGCGAATGCACAAAACATTTTCAAACCCGGAAAATATCCCAATGAATGACTTCGACGTTTGTACACTGAAACAAGGACAACACGATCTCGCCACTGCGTTCGTTTCGCTCTGTGTCGGAGTAAACTCTGGCAGAAACTAGAGTCCAGGACATGCAAGGCCTGTCCACTCATTCCTTAATTCATGCTGTACACATTCATACTGACGCACAGCCACTGGACCAGGATATACGGAGTCAATATTGTGTTAAACCAACAAACGGAGGTGACCCTACCTGGCACAGTGCATGCTTGTTGGGCTCAGCTGTTGCAGTTTACGTCAGAGAAAAATGAGACAGCGTGGGGGATGTGACGAGGCATCGCAAGTGAGAGCATAGCCAAATAGTTTGTTCAAGTTGGATCATTCAAGTTGTCTGAAGAGGGGGAACTGGGCAACTGCGCACTGGCCATAGCTTTGACGTAAGATCGCCATCGACTGTGATTCATTCATGTCTGTAAGTGTCACTAACTACTGACAGGTGGAACAACGGAGTACCCTTCCAAGGAGGCGGAAGCTGTCAATCCAAAACCTTTTCAGTGCCACGCCACCCGGAGGAAGCACGAGGGCTGGAATACCGCCAGAGGATATTGAGATGCAGGGTTGGAACCACGGACCTTCTGATCAGCAAATTCTCTGACCACTGAGGCTCGGACACGCACTCCTGGTCGAAAGTACAGTATCACTCGACGAACTGTCGGACGTCAAATGGAAAAGAACATCCGTAGGGAACAAAAAGTCTGGCAAGTCCGGAAACCTCATAAAATTGGTGTGGGAAATTCTGGGAATGTGCGTAAGCCGTTTCAGTTCATACGCCCAAAAGGCCCAAAGAGGTCTCTGGTGAGCCAGAAGACCACTGATAAAGACAACTGGATTATCTCTAAGAAAGGGCACTTGAATCATTGAGCAGAACACTTCCAAAAATTCTCCTACCACCTGCAGTTGCTTGGCCTGATATCCCGACTCGTAACGCAGACCTGGACAGTGAACTTGGAACACTCGACGGCTTCATAAGTAAGTGAGCGGCTTTTGTCCATCAAGCGTTACCTGGAAAACCCTCATCCGCTCTGCTCGAAGATTGAGGTCAAGTTCTCAGTTGGTACTTGTCTAATTTATTCGCCTGTAACTGGGCAACCACAACCGGTTGGGGTGAGCTGAGAGTGGTACTCATTTTCGAAAAGATTTCTCGCAGTGTGGTACTCACAGAGGAATTTGCTTCACCCCGGTTATAACCAGGCTCGCATCACTCATTCTACGTCGCCTTACAAAGGTACACACAGACGGAACTAGAGGATTCCGGCCGGAAAGGAGATGCATTGTGTAAATATTCACATTCTGCCAAGTTTTATTATGTCCCATAGTCTTAGTGTTCCCTGAATTCGAGAGTGCGTTAGGTTCTAACGACCACTTAATACTTTTCAAAGCATTTGCGCGACACGGTATGCCCCAGAAGTTCGTGAATATTGTGCGCCTTTTGTATTCACATACTTGAGGGCGCGTGAGCTGAGAACTATCCAAACTCTTTCCTACGAACGATGGTGTCCATCAAGAATGTTCTTTCTATTTTTAATTTAATTTAATTTTCATTCTGTTTAATGAAGTGACAAAGTGAACTTTCAAGGGTCTGAAAAACCTCGATATTCAGATCCCTCGGAGCGAGATGCTTGACTGGAATATGCAGACGACACTGGTCTCAATTTTTCGTGAAGATCGAAAGTTGCGAACATCACTAGGAAAGTTGACCATTGTGTCAGCTTTTCAGCATGGGCTTCGCACCCACAATGCACGAAGTCATGCCGCGGGACGTAGTACTTGAATATTCCTCTAAGTTCAGTTGGGGTAGCACCTTGCACCCTTGACTCGACAGTCTGAACCACAAGGCAGAAACAGGATGTGGTGTTTTATCCAAAAACCCACCCCTAGTCTCTGGCTCGACAGTCCGATCTATGGGGCAGCGGAAGGTAGGGTTTTTAGGGATCCTTCCCAGTGCTGTTCGGCTGCAAATTATCTGGACCGGGGTTGGGAGAAGGAAGATGGATGATTGTCCCGCTGTCGCCGAGCATGGGAGATGCGTTTGAAGTCGCACGGAAAGACCTACTTGATTGCTGTCCGTATTGGATAACTCGCTGGCGGTCACGATCCGCTGTTGCGGATAAGAGTGTGTGGTTTCCAGGACTGATATTACCTAATCTGTCCTTTCTGGAGGAAGGCAGCACTACTACTTCCATAAGTATTGGCATCCTGGTGGCCTGGGTGGCCTTACTGCTCTCATGCTCCCACCGTAGAGGACAACCACCTGAGAGCCTCGCACATAGTACGGGCTCTCTTCAGTTGTGCTGACCTCGTCTGTCCCTGGGTAGCACGAACTTTCAGCATTAGCCCTCAACAGTGACTTGGAGGCAATCAGTGGCATGACAGACAAACACTTAGAGTGGATTAGGTGGCTGCCAACTACATTCAAAGGTGATTATGGAGAGTCTCAAAGGTTGGCGCTCCTTCTATAAAACGCGAATCGACTGAGATCTCACCATTTTGCGGGCTGTTATCACATCGCTTAACGTCAGGGCTACACATACCAATGTAGACTGATCCAGTCATTGATGAAGAGCTGTTCGAAGACGAGCAGGCGATAGTGAAATAAGCTATGTACTCAGCTTCTAGGATTATCTTTTTGTCAGAGGGAATCTAGATTTGTCTACCTCGCCAGTGGCAATAAGGAATGCAATGCCCAATAAACCCACCTCATCTGAAGAACGGGGTGTTTTACGGTCCAGGATTCGCCCGAGCTTGGCTGATCGGAAACGAGTACTCAAAAATCAATCACATCCCCGTGCCCACTGAAAGTCCGTTGCCAATGCCTCAGCTGAATTGTCCGGATTTCCAGAATGCTTTTGTACATTCGGCGTAACTACGGCACGCCGTATAGGGGTTTGGTCTTGTTTTGGGCGATCAACGCGCTGTGTACCTTTAGTATTTCTCTTG